CCCCAAAGCCCCAGTAGATAGTTGTATGTCATAGCTGCACATCCTTCTAGTTGCTGTATGTGGGACGTGGCCTCAGCATGGCTGGAGAAGCGGTGTGTCGGTGCGCACCCAGGATCCAAACCTGGGCTGCCAGTAGCAGAGCGCACACACTTAACCACTAAGCCATGGGGCCGGCCCAAGAATTGGTGACTTTAAACAAATGCTTCAGAAACCATTTTGTCACCATATAGATATCGGGCAGCCTTAGGGCTACCAAAAGGCTAAAAGGTGGAGTTTTATAGTGGGTTCTGGAACTAGGGCCTCAGAACTAAGATCAAGTGAAAACAGCTTTAGTTCTTGGTACACCTGTGGAGGAAGAAGTTGTTTACATATATAAACTGTCAATTCTCAATGTCTTAGCATGCTATTTCTCCTCTCTTTAAATAAAACAAAAGCTTCTCTTGACCCCACTTCCGTGACCAGCCTCCACTCCATTTCTTGGATCTGCTTTGCAGAAAAACTCCCTAAGTGATCTTTCTGTCTCCAAGTCTTCTTCTCCCTTTCTCTCTTAAACCCACTTCTGTCATGCTCTCACTCCTACCAGTCCATCAAAACTATTCTTGTCAAGGTCAACAGTGACCTCATTGTCACTCAATCTAATGGTCAATTATTAGTCTTCTTCCTGCCTGACATTAAATATTCTTCCAGAGCGTGATTTTTAATGGTTACGCAAGTACCTTGAAAAGTGTAAAACACCATATAATCTACCATGATAATATCATTATTCCTTCTTTAAGAACTTGAATATTTGTTTTAAAGGATTTTGATTTCTTCTCTTTCTCTATAGGGGACATGGTCTCAAAGTACCGAGAACCTTTGATCCACACCTTCCTGAGGGGAGCGAGAGATCCAGATAGTGCTCACAGGGCCAGCAGCTTATCTAACCTTGGAGAACTGTGCCAGAGGCTGGACTTTCTGCTGGGTTCCGTGGTTCATGAGGTACCGTATGTTGATTCCTTTCTCTACAGCTTATTTTTTACTTGGACCTATGATATAGCTCCTAGTTGGAAGTCAGGAGACCTGTGTTCCTTTTCCAGATCCGGTAAGTCATTTAACCTCCCTTGGCCTCACTAGTCTCATATGTATATTGAAAGTTATAGTAGTAAGAATTTTTTAATTGAGAGAGACAGGAAGTCATCTCAACCTACCTTAGGCAATAAAAGAGGATTTATTATAAAGCTTCTGAGGTAGCTAACAGAATTGAAGAAACTTGGAGGAAGGGCAGATGGAATTTCATCCTGGGTCTCTGGGCCATCTGTGAGTCTCATCTCTGTTCGCAGAAAAATCTCAGGCGAATACTCTAATTGGCCTTCTTTGATCAGAGGTGCCCTATGTTCAGGGGGACTACCAGAAAAGACTAATTAACTTCTTTGTTTTGTTCACCACTTTATACCCGGTGCCTGGTACATAATAGGTAAAGGATGAATGAGCAGCCAAAGTAATAGCCATACAAGATGGTGACACTGGACGCTTCTCCTGGTTTTACAGTTTAAGATTTAGAGAAAGGTACATCTTGCTGTTGTCCTCTGTGAATATCTTCCTCTAGCCTCTTAAATTTTATCTTTGCTCTTGTGTTTATTTAGTCATCAATATATTAATATATATCTTGAGTACCTACTCTGTGCCAGGCCCTCTGCTATTGAAAGATGATGATGGGCAGAAAAAGACTAGTTAATATGTGGCCAGAAGTCTCTTTGCTTCCAATGCACTTGACCATCTTAAATCCTTTTTGGAAGAAGATGGCTTATAAATTATAAATATGTAAATAAAGTATAGTTTATATTACCTTTTTATTTATAAGCAGCCAGTTTCTCATATAAAGCACATAACTTCACAGCAACTTAGAAAACTGTAATACTGGCATCTTTTACAATATTCCATATCCTAGGGCTGACCATGTTGAACATTAGATCTTAAGAAGTACCAACCAAGAAGGAATTTCCTTCAGTCTCTGGTGTTGTGTCTTATCAGTATGAATAAGGACACTCAAGGATATATACATACACTTGAATTTGTGTTATTTCCTCATTCCTGAGCTGTATATTTTTTGTTTTAGTGATTATAAAGAGTACTCTTGTCATTAAATTCCAACTTAGGATTTTTAGGAAAGTTATATATCAGTCATTTCCTCCCCTTTAACTCTTCTTTGGGGGGGTCACTAGGCACACCCCTATCCCCAACTTTTTGTATCTTTTTTTGATAACTTGGAAACAATGATTAGCACCAACTTAAAACCTTTAATTTCTCTACTATATGTGAACCATTAGGTGCCTGATTTGAGGTTGTTTTGGATGGCACTTAGCAAATCTCGTTCTTTAGTAATATTAACTTGTGACACTTACGAGAGGGCCTTTGCAGGTCTATTTCGTTATGTTGTCTGGAGATTCCAGCCTATTATAACTTCTCTGGGTCAAATATGGAAATGGTTCCCACATTTTTTTCTCTGTTTACTTGGTCTCCACATGACTCAACCCAAACTGAGCCATAAATCATGAACTGAGACAAGCTCTTGGACCATGATCTGAACCAACTCAAATATTATTTTTAATAACAGCTTTATTGAGATAGAATTCACATACCATACAATTCACCCATTTAAAGGGTACAATTCAATGGTTTTTAGTATATTCACAGACTTGTGTAAGCATCACAAATTTTTTTTTAAACATAGCCATGAACTGAATAAAAATTTCCCCCAGATCTTCACATGGATTAGCTCAGATTTGACAGGATCCCATACATTTTCTAAAACCAATGAATTCAAACTATGTTTGAACATCATGATCTTCTCTGAACCCAGAAACTGAGACCATATTTCTTTTTGAATTCCTAGATTCTTCTTTCCTTTCTCTCTGTTAAGGAAACTGTAGCATGCTAGTGGCTTATGATTTTCTCTTGAAAGCGTTGGAGAAATTTCTTGGTTTGGTTAATTAGAAAGATTGAGCTAAAGCAGTTTTTGTAACATTCAAGAAGTGTCATCTTTCTGGAGACCCACTTGACCTGTTGAAAGAGAACCAAATCTCCAAGCACACCTGGGGATAGGAATAAATGGGGGCCCAGCTCCACCACCTCCTTCCCTGTGTTCACTTGAGAAGATGACTTAGACTCTGAGCTCAGTTTCCTGACTTAGAAAATAAGATTAATATACCTACAATGCAAGATTGTTACAAGGATCTAGAAATGATGTATATGTGAAATATAATGATTTATTTAACAGTTGTTATTGAGAGCCTACTGTATGCCAAGTGAGCATTCTGGAAACCTAAAACATACCACTTTTCCAAATAGATAATGATTCCCATCTTCATGGAGCTTACGTTCTAGTAAGAGGTAGTTATCAGACAATAACTGATATACGTATTAAATTTATAGCATGTTAGACAATGATAGGTGCTGTGGAAGATAAGAAAAGGTAGAGAGGGGCCAGCCCAGTGTTGTAGTGGTTAAGTTCCCATGTTCTGCTTCAGCGGCCCAGGGTTCTCTGGTTCGGATCCTGGGTGTGGACCTATTCACTGCTCCTCAAGCCATGCTGAGGTGGTGTCTCACATAGGAGAGCTACAACTCTACAACTATGATATACAGCTATGTACTGGGGCTTTGGGGAGAAAAAAGAAAAAAGAGGAAGATTGGCAACAGATGTTAGTGCAGGGCCAATCTTCCTCAACAAAAAAAGAAAAAGAAAAAAAGAAAAGGTAGAGGAGGATAAGGGTGATCAGGACTGTAGTGTTAGGTGGAGGGGAGTTTGCAGTCTAAATAGGGTATTTAAGGTGAGCCTCATTGAGAGGGTAATATTTGAGTAAAGAAATTTTAGTTTTCTATATTAAGATTTATTTTAAGGAGCATTTTGGTCATTTGAAGGGAGCTGATGATGACAGTGATGAGGATGAAAAGCAAGGAAATGAGAAGGACAGGTGTAACCCACATCCTTCAAATGTCTCCAGTCGTATATTTACCAAACACCTGCAATGTGCCAGGCCCCTTTGTTAGGGGCCAGGAATATAAAACCCTCTAAGATACCACCTTGCCTTCTGGGCCTGGCTAACCTGTGGAAGACACAGATATCAGTGTTTACAATTACAGTACATTGTGATAGGTGCTGTGGGAGCACATTTTAGGAGACCCTCAATCAGATTTGGGTGTTGACAAAGATGGGCTGGAGAGAGAGACCCTTGGAGCTGAATCTGGAGAAGTAGAAGTTAAATAGCCCAAGAAAGCAGAGGTGAACGTTTCAGTAGAGGGAGCAGCTTGTGCAAAGGCACTGTGGTGTGGGACAGCCTGAGATGTTTGAAGAACTATAGGAAGATCCAAAAGGCTAGAGTGAATGGGTGGGGGTGAGAGGTTAGTTGGTAGCGGAGCTGAGGCAAGAGAGGCAGGCAGGGGCCACATCGCTAAGGGCCTTGTTAGCTTTACGACCTCCTGGCTTACAGCAAGAATTGAGCATTGCTTATTAAGCCTTCAGAAATGAAGTATGAATAGGTAGTAGGCTGTTTGCTTACCATGGGTGCTAACACAAAGAGAGAGCCCTTCCTTTTCTTTCAACCTTAAAATCGATGTGAGGAGCTGCTGCTGTGGGGGCACCTGTCTGGCAAATGCTTTGTCCAGTGACCCTACCTCACTTCTGGAGACCTGGACACTCTGTAACATCAATCCCAGGAGTTTTTATGAACATTAATAAATTGTGAGCCCAGTAAGAGCAGAATCAGTCTTTTTTCACCTTTGCGTACCCCCTAGTACCTATCACAGTGCTTGGCATGTAGTGGGTGCTCAGGAAATGTCTGTTGATTAATATTAAAGGAAGAAGAGGGTAAGGCTTATTTGGGAAGACTAGTTCCTACATGTTTTAAAAACAGTAATAATAGCAAGCACTTAATACTCTTCTGAGTGCCTTATGTGTCAACTGATCCAATCCTCACAGAGGAAACGAGGGCACAGAGAAATTAAATACATTGCCAAAGTCATGCAGATAGGAAGTGGCAAGGCTGGAATTTGAATGCAGGCAGTAGGTTCCTGAATCCCTGCTCTTAACCACTCCTCTATATTGTCTCTCAATAAATGTTTTCAGTTCATTTATAAGATTGCTTTTGTGCCCTTGAAAAGGAAGAGAATTGCCGTATGAGAAAAGCTATGGACAGGAGGGGTCATGCAGGTGTGTCTTAATAGCACTTGCTTTTGGCAGTGAAACTTCAGAAGGCAGTATATTCCCTCTGATTTAAAAAGCCAGGTGTTTCCATCCCACATAATTTGTCTCTTCTTTTTAGATGTTCCTTCTTATGTAGCATCCCACGCTTGCCATGTCATTAGTGCCAAACCAGCTGCCCTGGGCAGACTACAAGTTTGAACATGATTGGACACCTGACAGTCTTAGTATTTCAGCCATTGAGTCCTCTTATGGAGTCAGACCACTCTTGTCCATTCGCATGGAAAACGTGGGATATTTGGCATGGCTCTTAAGTAGTTCTCCATTCATTTGTTTATTCTTTCGACAAATATATATTGAGCACCTGCTCTGTGCCGGTTATGGGACTGCACCCAAGCCACGTGCTAGTTGGTCGGGATCCAGCTCTGAACAACAAAGTGCCTGTCCTCATGGAGCTGACATTCTAGAGAGGAGAGTTAGGTAACAAATAGGCAAGCAAGTAAACATATATTGTGTCAGGTGGAGTAAGTGCTAAGAGATAAGTCTAGTCAGGTAAGGGGCACGAAGGGCGCTTGTTATTGTATGTGAACTGTGGTGAACAGGAAAAGCTTCACTGATAAGTGACATTTGAGCAAAGATGTGAAGGAAGCAAGGGCTGATCCAGGCAGATACCTGGGGATAGCCTTCTAGGCAGAGGGAGCAGCAAGTACAGAGGCCCTGAGGCAGGTGCATGTTTGACATGCCAACAGCAAGGCCAGCGTGGCTTGAGTGAAGAGGGTAAGGGAAGGAATCGTAGGAGTTGGCATCAGAGAGGTGGTGGCACTCCAAGCGGGGCCTTATAAGCACTTTGGCTTTTACTGTGAGTGAGATGTGAAGACAAAGCAGAGGAATGAAATGGTCTAACTTATTTTAAAGATTAATGTGTCTTTTATGACAGTTCTTTCAGTGTCCCATAAAAGCTCTTGAAGTCTTTTGTAGTCTCAAAAATGCTTAGCCCCAGTGTGTACTGGTAGAGAAGGAACCAAGAGGAGAAGTGTAATCTGTTTTGATATAGAATTGAACAGACTAGCCACCACAGGCTCTTCTAATGTGATCTGATCTGGGGGTCACAGCTGTAGCTCTTGGGCATCTGAAGAAAGCTGTCCCACCTGCTGAGTGGTCCAGATTTGGGCACTGTCTGTGCTGTGACAATGCTAGCTGGTAGAGAAGGAATATGAAGACTAGGATCAACCCTTCCACAATCTCTATACTAGGAATTCAGGTTTTTCCTCCCTGTTTTTTTTTTTTTTTTTAAAGATTTTATTTATTTATTTATTTCCCCCCCCCAAAGCCCCAGTAGATAGTTGTACGTCATAGCTGCACATCCTTCTAGTTGTTGTATGTGGGACACGGCCTCAGCATGGCTGGAGAAGCGGTGCATCGGTGCGCACCCGGGATCCGAACCCGGGCCGCCAGCAGCGGAGCGCACACACTTAACTGCTAAGCCACGGGGCCGGCCCCTTTCCTCCCTGTTGATATCAAGATTTAACCTGTTTGGAGAGCATTATTATTTTTCCCAGTTTCTCCTTGTTCTTATGAAGAGCTATGTTGCTTGAAACCAAATCTTGATAGGCTCTTTCATCTTTATCGCTCTCTATGAGAAGTGAATATGATTTAAGTGCACTGTAGTGAGAGGCCCACCCTCAGTACAGCAAATAAGATATGCCCCAGGTGACATGTACAGGAGCAACCCAATTTTAATGGGGGGGGGGCAGAATTCCACGAACCTGAGCTTTGAGGTCTGATGAAAAGCTATCACTTCTGATCCCACTGAATGATCCAAATTGATTACCAGGGCCGGCCCCGTGGCTTAGCGGTTAAGTGCGCGTGCTCCGCTGCTGGTGGCCCGGGTTCAGATCCCGGGCGCGCACCGACGCACCACTTGTCTGGCCGTGCTGAGGCCGCGTCCCACATACAGCAACTAGAAGGATGTGCGGCTATGACATACAACTATCTACTGGGGCTTTGGGGGAAAAAAATAAAATAAAAGTTTACATAAAATTATAAAAAAAAAAATTGATTACCATTTTTGCCACAATCAGTGCAGTTTCCTAAGTGATAAGGCTCATGCGTTTTGAGGGTATGTGGACCCCTGAGATGAGGACGCAAATTGATGTCCTGGGAAACCTCAAGGAAGCTCAAGTAGCCGCCGCAGTTCTCTTTCATGGCTGGTTAAGGGAGCAAGCCGAGCACATGTGAATTAGAGGCCACACTGTCTTTGTTGTTAAGGTTTCTTAGTTTACAAAATAGAAGGACAGATGGTCTAGTTTCAGACAAGTTAGCAGACTGCCTGAATTTTAACAAAGGGAGCTTTAGGAAAAGGGATGGGGATGCAGTTGGAAAATTTAACTCATGCTTTCTTTATACATACCTCAACTCTAGTACCTCTCTTCTGGAATTTTCCAGAGTTGGTTTTTGGTAATCTTGCCATTTGTATTATCTTTGTTTTTATAGTTCTGATTATGCTTGGTGTGTGCCAGCTGTTTGGGGAGTGATGTTTTTCCTTATTTCTGTTGGCTCCTATCAAGTGTTAAATTGCTTAAACTGACCTTTAGTGTTTCCAAAGCAATCGTCGTCTTTCTCTCTGGATGGCTTTCAGAAGTAGATACAATTTATATAATTTAGCCAATGAAGAAAAAGCCTTCCATAGTATGGTTTATTAGAATAGGAACATTCACCCTTAGGACAGGTGACATGAAGATCACATAGAGTGGGTTTCTGCCCTCTGGGAAGATTTAAAAAGAGAATAGAAATATTACATCAATCCATAAATTAGTAAAGACCTTACATCATCTATCTATCTATTCACCAAGACTCTTAGGGCTGGAAGGCAATGTTGAGTATGTCTTTGGGATTGTAGGTGAGAGAGACTAGCCGTGGGAGGGACTTGTTCAGACTGGACAGATGGAAGAGAGTGGCCATGCATCCGTCTGCTTCTAGTGTTTGACGAGGGGTCTATCCCACTGGCCCGCAGAAGAGCGACATTCCAAGTTGGTTATGGGAGCTTGACCTGAATAGAAGAAGGCTGTTCTTATCTCTAATGATATCTGCAAGACCATATTAAAATCCTGATGCTGTAAAAACATTTTGTATAACCAACCATCATACGTTTCACAGGATTTGGTCCTGTGACAGAGATGTTGAGGAAGGTTCCTGAACACTCTTCTCTTCAAAGGCCTCTTCCTGATTGCCTCGATGGCTGATTGCAGCTGGGCTTGGTACAGTCTGGTGGATAAGTCACTAGCAGCCTGCAGCAAGCAGGAGGCCATTCCAACTGGTCTCAGCAAGGCTTCTCTCTCAGTCATACCTTCAAGGTAGCACAGGGATTCAAGAACTGGCCTTGCGGGAGAAACTGTTTTCCAGCTAGGATGCATCTGCCTATCCCAATCGTAGAATAAATGCCTGACAGTTAGAGTTGGCCTCACATTGAGAGCTGAGGCAGAAGCATGGCCCGCTCAGCATAGTGAGGCAGAACAGAGGTGGCAAAGCCAGACACCAGAAGTGTCCTAGGCCAGGAACCCTTGGTCCATGAATCATGGAAACGTGGACCCAAAACTGAACCTAGAGGCTAAAGGCTTGGGAGCGTCTGCACATGACACGGCCCTGGGCTGGCTTTCGTACTTTAGTTATCAGACTGAATAAGCTAAACTTTCCACGTGTCAAGAAAGATTCAGACCTAGCTCTAACTTGTGTCTCTGATTTCAACTCTTACCTTGTAAATACTAAGCCTGCAAGTGGAGGTAGCTATTATATTGCTGCCTGTTTGGAGGTCGCCCAAGGAATTCCTCCTAGGACTGAATTGCTTCTACCGTTAATGCCAGAGGCATGGAAGCCACTGATGGCCTTGGGTCAGGGTGTCCCAGGTCAAAAGCAGATGCAGTTTTCTGGGTCTTGTTGAAAAACAGCCCCCAACGAGTTGAGCTTTTCTGGGGTTTCCCTTCAGTTGCAAGCTGCAAGTTTGTCTAATAGATGTACAACTTGAGTAAATGCCAGTGTATCACAGATGCGATTAGATTTAAGAAAAAGCTACTTCTAATCTCTCTGCCATCACTGATTAATTAGACATTTTGAACTATGCCCAACTGTTTGAAAGCTGTGAAAAATACAACCTGCATAGTTAAATTTCTGCACAAGCCTATTTCCTCATTTGTGCCTATATCTTTTTTTAAACCATTCTTTAAACATAATATGTATTTGTACTTGTTTCCAAACACACAGTCTGGCTATTTTCTTATCATGGTTAGAAATCCTTCCCCCGTTAGCCAAGAAATAACACTCACTCAGTAAATCAAATAACAAAGTAAGTGAGAGACTAACTGAATGATTAATTCTTACCTTCAGATTGTTGCTACATTGGTTACACTTTCAAATTTTTGTTTTTTCTTTTTAAATCTTGCATGAATGCCTCAGAAAGGTTTGTTGCCATTGTTTTTAGTGGTATCTCTTTATTGCGGTTTTAGAATATTTTTGTGCCTACCAGGAGGGGGGTGGGGCCACTGGCTGGTACAAGATATAGAAACTGTCTTATTTTATGACATATAATTATTAGCTATATATCTGGCACCATGTTTTGCAAGTAATTTCCAGTCTTTTCTGTTATAGAGCTGTCTATTAAAGTAAATGAGCACTGAAAGACCTATTCCATAAATGAAGAAGCCCAGGCAGGGAGTCTCTGAAATTGGCCCCTGGAACTCACATGCGGTCTACACTAGATCTGTAGGACTGGGACATCTGGACATGCTGAAGGAGATCAGTTTGGATATTTACGTATTTCTGTATCCCTGGGCTGAAACTTTCATTGATGGCACATTCATATTCGTGCTGGGCATTGAACTCTGAAGCCTGCTTAGCTAAATCTCCGTGGTCCTCAGTCCCTAAGATGCTGTGTTTTCAACCATCTTTTCTTCTTTTGATTTAATGTCCCCAAAGGGGGGCAAGTAACAGTTCTTCCCACTTTTGAGAAACTATTTGCATTTGACTGCACCTTTATTATATACGCATATTCTTTCCCATTCCCTAAACTCCCTCCTTAATGCCAAACCAGATTTTGTCCTTTTCCAGAAAAGCCAGACTGAATCAAGATCTCTACCACTAGATCTCTCTTTATTGAAAACAAGGAAATTGTCCACTCCTCTCTAAGCCGAATTGTTCCTGATGAATGTCTGGAAAGTGGAACACAGTTGAAAGGCTTTAGGTAATTGTGCAGTCCTGATTTTTATTGACTTCTTCCCTCACCCTCCCAGGTGACAGCTTGCCTGATTGCTGTGGCTAAAACAGACCATGAAGTTCAAGTGCGCAGAGCTGCCGTCCACGTGATTGTCCTGCTGCTTCGGGGACTCAGCCAGAAAGCTACTGAGGTCAGTCAGTTTCTTACCATTTACAACATCCCTTCCTCTTTGTTTTGTGTCTATCAGTCTTCCTCTCACCAAGGCAGGCCTCAAACCCATTCCCTGGATGGACTCATGCAGATGAATCGATCAGCAGGGATTTTGTAACAGGAAAATTGTATTGTTTGCATCTTCAGTCAGAGTCTCTATTCCCTCTGCAACATATTCGGCAAGCTACACACTCAACTGCTGCAGAAAAACCAGAGCACAAGTTCGTAGATTGAGACTCTGAGTCCTGGTGTTCTCCTCAGAGGGACAAGTCCAATGTGAGCTAGCTGGGATGCACAAAGCCTGCCTCTATAGCCTGAACTTTAGTGACTTGTCTTCCTGACTCATTTAATTGTTCATATGGAATTACTAAAGGGCTTCATTTAAAATGTTTCCTTTCTAGCTATGAGTTCAATCCATGAGATTTCAGTTGCTGCGTAACTTAAACTTCCTTCCTCCTCCTCCAAGTGAGTTTGGTCGGATTTCTCCCCAGTGTATGGCCAATACAGGAAGAAAATGTATATTTGCATATGTTTGCTAAGGAGTGACCTCTAAATTAATTTTCTTCTTGATTTTAATGGAAACTCATTCCCAGTTGACTTAATAGAGAGACTTTGCATTAATAATTCACTTCCTGGTATCCACAATGCTCATCTGCGGCTGGCACATCAGTATTTAACTAAGTGTCAGTGAAGCCATTAGAAGAGTTACTGTTTTGTCAGACACACAGGCTTTGTTCCTGCTAGAATTTTGCCATATCAAGTTCCTGACACCATTTTTGTACAAGCGTGGACTCATCTGTTATCCCCTAGTTATTATCTAAGACCTTGATGGGAGTGGGGGACGTACAGATCATAACACAATAATTCAGATAATTAAATAAATTGCTATAGAGTACACACTACTCTTGTTGAGAATCTGCTGTACAAAATGGAGCTAAGAAAGAGTCAGTGTTTTTCACCCATTGTCAAGATCTATAAAACTCTTGACAAATATACCATTGTTATGTAGGTTGTTAACAATAGGGGAAACTGGGTAAGGGATATACAGGAATTTTCTGTACTGTCTTTGCAACTTTTCTGTAAATCTAAAATCATTTCAAAATAAAAATGTATTTAAAAATGAGTTACAACACTATTAAAATAAATCTACAAAGCTCTGTAAGTGCACACATCCTTACTGAGTGAGAGAGAGAGAGAGAGTGTGTGTGTGTGTGTGTGTGTGTGTGTGTGAAGCAAAGCAAAATGTCTGGTTAGTAAAAATGAGAGAAGAAATAGAAAGAAAGTCTATCCAGATTTCTCACATCTGTGTGTAGCCAATGAAAGCAACACTGCTTGTCTCACCAGTACTAAAATAATTTGTGGCCGTGGAAGATTTTTGTCACTTTCAAAAAAGCCACGTGAATGAAAACCTCTCTCCTGTTCTCAAAACCATCTCTAGTCTGCATTCACTGAAATTTATAAATTGTGCTTAGTCAGTGAATAAAGAAAAGGAAATGGGATGGGATGAATGTATGATTCCTCTTCCTGTTGCATCCTTGAGACCAGGTGTGTTAAATCTTGTAATCGTAGGTGTGATTATAATCAGGGGAACTTTAATGAGAAGCGGAGATAACCACAAAGCTTTCAATCTAGGATTTCTCTTTACTGCTCTGTTTTGCCCCCAGGAACAGCTGAAATGAAAATGCCACTTTGTTGATGAAGTTTTGTGTATTTTTTTCCCCTTCTAATCACTATCTCTCAAGCTATAGAGCGCCAAAAGATAATCCCAGGTTTCAGTGAATTCTCTGTTGCTCGGAGATGTGCCGGCCAAGGACCTTTGTGGTTCTGGCAGTTTGAAAAGGAGGCAGAGAGTCCAGTAAAAGGTAGAGATTTAGAAGATCAGGAGAAAGACTTGGATCAGAGAGGGAAGACAGCACCACATCTCATGAGGTAACTTTTACCTCTTTCCCATTTGCAAGTAGCCAGAATTTTGTGCATTCAACACAATATCCACGTTGGAGGGAAATACTGCATTCACTTTATTATTGGAAAACTTATTTTCTCGTCTCAACCTTGTTTTCGCATTATGACCATATCTTTTTGTTAACTCATTCCCAAGTATAACCTAAAGCGTAGGAGAAGCCAGAAGGAACCCCCTTTCAGCCCATTCTACCTTAATCTTGCTGAGAATTAAATTTACTAGGACTACCCAGAAGAGGTGGTATATTTACCTGTACTTTCTGTTGGCCTCAGAGTTAAGAACAGCCCTTCTCAACATGGAGAAGATGAGCTGAGCGACAGAATGAGAAAATTGTGCCTAACTATCCAGCTCTTCCCAAGTTGGGTCTTTGCAAGGTGATTGGTTTGTTCTATTGTAAGTGTTTAGAGCATCCATACTCATAAATTCATTCCAGAGACAGTAATGAATAACTGAGGCGGTAGTGGCTGAGCAATAGCCTGCCAGACTGGCCCTCCTTCAGCTAACAACTATAAACTCTGAACATAGTATAGTAAGCAGCTACCTGAAGACAGTGGAGAGTGATCAGAAGCAGCAGACTCGCATGGGGAGTCCATGCTTAGAGGAGAGACACTGTACAGAGTGAGTTCCCATTTTCTTGGCTTTTAGCCTAGGAACAAGTCTATTTGGTGAGGCATGTAATGCATTAGGGGCTCTGGTGGAGAAATAACAGTCTTTCTGGCCTGGGGAACCAGAAGATTGAGTCTGGGGAAACCACGGCTGCAGGAGACAGAGGAGGAATCCTGGAAAGGAAAGAACCAGAGAGAGGATTCCCAAATTCTCTTCACCTCTATCTCTGGCCCCTGAACCAAGGAAGATAATTTAATTGCATGCTTTATAATTTTTATTTATTTATTTATTTTTCCCCCAAAGCCCCAGTAGATAGTTGCATGTCATAGCTGCACATCCTTCTAGCTGCTGTATGTGGGACGTGGCCTCAGCATGGCCAGAGAAGCAGTGCGTTGGTGCGCACCTGGGATCCAAACCCGGGCCGCCAGCAGCGGAGCGCGCACACCCAACCGCCAAGCCACGGGGTTGGCCCCTAATTGCATGCTTTAAAAAAATAAAGAAATGGGGCCAGCCCCGTGGCTTAGCGGTTAAGTGTGCACGCTCTGCTACGGGCGGCCTGGGTTCGGATCCCCGGCGCACACCAATGCACCGCTTGTCCGGCCATGCTGAGGCCGCATCCCACATACAGCAACTAGAAGGATGTGTAGCTATGACATACAACTATCTACTGGGGCTTTGGGGAAAAAAAGGAGGAGGATTGGCAATAGATGTTAGCTCAGAGCTGGTCTTCCTCAGCAAAAAGAGGAGGATTGGCAAGGATGTTAGCTCAGGGCTGATCTTCCTCACAAAAAAAAAAAAGTAAAGAAAAAAGAAAGCACTCATTGGAGAACAGAATCCAGAGTCTCCATAATTTAATATTCATAATGTCCAGGGTACAATCCAAAATTACTCGATATATAAAAAAACAGGAAAATGGAACATATTCTCAATAAAAAAGAAAATCAACTGAGACCAACCCTAAGATAATCCTGATGCTGGAATTATCACACAAGGATTTTAAAGCAGCTATTATAATTATCCTCAGTGAAGTAAAAGAAAAATATGCATGCAATTAATAAAAAAATACAAAAATCTCAGCAAAGAAGTAGAAACAATTAAAAAGTAGAGCCAAATGAAAATTCCAGGACTAAAAACTACAATATCTGAATGTTTTTTTAAATCACTGAATGGAAGTAATTGCAGAATGGAGATGACAGGGAAAGAATAAGTGAATTTGAAGATGGAACAATAGAAATGATCTAATATAAAGAACAGAGAGGAAAAAAAAGATTTAAAAATGAGTGATTTGGTGGGATCAGAGGCTGTCAGAACCCTAAACTTGTATTTCCCCTAGGAGCAATGGTTCAGTATCCACTAATTCAGTATCCGTGGCAACTTTCTAGAACATAACTACCACAAATTACAAGAATCGACTGTATACATAGTAGAAAAAAAAAGTTGATGATCTTAAAAAAGGAATGAGTGATTTGGGGTTGACTATAGTTCTAGATTTATTTAGATAACTACTACTGCAGTCCTTTACATAGTTTATAGAAAGTTGACATCTTAGAAGAACTGTGAAGTACTTGAGAACTTTGCACATGGATTTGTAGTGAACAAGTATGGCAGCATTTTATATTGAAACTTTCTCCCTTGCTTTTTTTTTTTTGCCAAGGAAGGCTGGCCCCGAGCTAACATCCATGCCCATCCTCCTCCACTTTATATGGGACACGGCCACAGCATGGCGTGACACACAGTGCATCAGTGCGCGCCCGGGCTCCGAACCCTCCAACCCCGGGCCGCCAAAGCGGAGCGCTAGCACTCAACCGCTTGCGCCACTGGGCAGGCCCCTCCCTTGCTTTTTAATATAAGAAGGTAATTCCCAGAGCATAGCTTTTCTTCCTTCTAATCCCTAATTTTGGATGACAAAAGAATAATCTATTCTCAACTCTGTCTAGTGGGAAATAAGTAGTAGGCTTTAGAATTCATTTCTTCAAGGTGATAAGCAAGCATTAACACCACCAGGTCATTTCTTCAAAAATAAGCAAAACGTGGAAGCATCTTCAGGGGGAAGAGTTTGGAATTAATTATTAATTGATGGCTGAGTCAGGTTGAGCCAAACCCAGGCCTCCACCCAGGAAGGATCTTTAATTCCTTCTTTTGAGTCCAGTGTTGGACTTGATGACAGAAGCCTCTTCATAATAACATTGTGAACAGAGGTTTCACTAACATTTGTGTGGTTGAAAGTTACTCTCCTACTTCTTTTTGAGAGAGAAGGCAAACCCTGGCTAAAAAAACAGAAATGGTTTATGGATGATGTCATGATTTTTTAATTACAGCAATTACACATGTCCGTCCAAACGATTTAGTGCATGTGTCCTAGCTTCACCTTGTGCCTGTCTGTCCATCCTGGGAGTCAGGACCTGAGGAGGATA